AACTAAGTGTAAATAATTACTATGTATGAACAAATATAATAAACTAAGTGTAAATAATTACTATGTATGCACAAATATAATAAACTAAGTGTTTGGCCAAAGTGTTTTTGTAATACAATGGTGGAAATATATTATCTTGAAGATAAGGAGTACGATACTATTTTTTAAGCCTTTCTCTGTAGGTGTAAAAGTTTGATAAATTGAAATCACACCAGATGTAACATTGTATATAAATCAATAGTTTGTACATAACCAAATATATATATATATATATATATATATACACAGTCAAATTTGGAATTTCTCATTTTTTCGTTTATAAAAACTATTTGTTTGTTTTTCTTAAATACATCTATGTTTCTAATTCAATAGTATCCAGTATATCAAAACTAACTTAACAATGATGCTTTCCCATTCTTCATCAGTCATTATTACTACCATCAAAACATAACTTTTGAATAGTTGACTATGTAGAAATATACTAATTTAAGGTATAACATACATTCGTACTTCAAACACCTCAACGTTAAAGAAATTAGTAGTAAACAACACTCATCTGCCAGGTTTTATGAAAGAATATATGCAAGTGTCATTTACGAAAAGTTATAAAACGAATCTTTATAATTTTGGAAGGAAAACGAATGTCATATTTAGCTTCCCCATTTTGAGTCTTGAAAAATTTTGTAACCTAGATATTTGGATTCACTGCATTCACATTAGCTTTAAAAAATGGTTACCAACGTTTCTTAAAACATTCCTCTACTTATCACATCCATCATTTATGTACTATAGGATGTGCATCAACCTCAAAGCAATATTCGCATTTTTTATAAACTTGTTATTAAACATTAAAACATTCGAAAACAAAAGTTACTAAATAAACACATTTGGTTTAATGTATTCAATATTTTTTTTGCTTGCAAAATTCAGTATTGAAAAAAATTTGTTTCAGGAGCAATTTTTTAAATTCACATTCTCGTTATTTCTGCAATAAATCAGCCAAGTAGAGGGATGTCACTTGCAGATATCATAAAAACGTATAGGGCTGTACAAAATAAGTTTGAGCATAAACAGAGAACTATACAACCAACAATTTAATCAGTTGGTACAGGTTTACAAAAACACATGCAGGAGACATTTATAGAAATAATCAAAGCAGTGCTACAAAATGATATTTAAATATATATATATATTTCATGTTAAGAATACAGTTGTGACATTATATTTGTATTTATGTCAATGCTACTAAGGATATCTGCCGCTATCTCTACTTTTAAACTATAGAAGGCAGCCAGTCAGCAGCCCCTACCACCCACGATAAGAGACTGACTGTCACTCGTATAACGCACTCACATCTTAAAATACGAGGTATATTTTGTGATATCGCACAATTCGAACCCGGCTCGCCAGCTCCGAAACCCATAGCTCTACCACAGGTCCAACGTACGCCACTGGTTGTATCGATGCAAGTCACATCAAATGTTCAGTATATTCTCCATCCATTTAAACAACATATTTGGATAAGACAAGACACTATAGATAGCTAACTCAGGTGTTATCACTGAGTATAATACAGTTGTCAAAATTATACTAATTGTGATTGAAGAGTATTGACACTAAACTCACACTTTTAGCTGCAATTCCTAATGTCATCACATGATCCTGAACTACGGTTTCAAAGTCACAATGGTAGTTTGTTTTTGTTTTGTTGTTTCACTTATTAAAGCATGATATCTATTTTCAATAAGGCGCAGCCATTTGAACAAGATCACGTGTATCAGGAGTGAATTACAGCCGGTATGTAGGAATACCAGCAAAGTAATTTTAGGGTGGTACTGACTACTGGTATAAACAATTTTTGTACAAATTATCGGTGTTAAATATAGTATTGTGGTACAATTTCCGCTATACTTACTATGTTGTTAAATTATAAAATAGATTTAAAACGTTATGGAAGGGAGTTGATGGGCGTATGTATATTCGATTATTTACCCTACATGTAATGGCATAATGTTTTCAGAGATTCACCGCTAGGATATTTTAGCAGTACTCCTGGTCAATATTCGAGTTGTTGATGTGGTATTACTTATTTCATGTGATATCTGTATAAATACATAAAGACCATCAAAATAAGTTTTACTTAACCAGAAATTAAAAAAAAAAATAGCATAAAATATGTGTGCTCCGCTGCGGGATTCAAAAGCACTCTCATGATTTAGAGAAACGCTAATGTACCGATCAAGCTCCTCCATTATCCCCAATTACTTCTATCGCTACACGAAAACATACTCCGGTAGGACACCTGCCCAGCCCGTAGTACGTTGGGCAGGTGTGCCACGTTTGGTCCCACAAGCTTATTGTGTCTTCCTCTCTGATCGTTATTTTGGTAAAGTGATCAGGGAGGATCAGATACACCCTGGACCTCTACCTCCCTCTTTGACTGTTGGTTTCGTTCTTAAATATAGTATATGAAGCCCATGTTCGTTTTTCGATATACTTCGGTCCGGTAGCTTGGGAAAATCCGTTCTTACATCATGCAGTCACTGCATGCACGGTACGATCGTACGTTCGAAAACGCGAGTGGCTCTTTTCAGACCATATCCATGAATGTACAACGAGGATTTTTTCTTGTTTTCTAGTAGATACTTCGCTTTTTTCGTTCACTGTCAACGTGAAGTTTTGTTCACATAAACAGTTCCATAAATATCACTATATCTACCGCATTCATACTTTTCTACGTTTTGATACATGTGAACTAAGGTTTTGATTTCCGTATTTAATCATATATTGGAATAGCCTTCATTTACGACTATTGGTTGTAAGAATAATGACGTTACTGGACTGTACTTCTTCAGTAATGTATGTCTTTGCTT